TTGGAGAACATGCTTGAATCTTTGCTTCATCACATGAAGGGCTTCTGCCCCCTAGTGATGGGGAAGATCCTAGTAGAACTGATCTTTTGCCCTTTGAATCTGAATTTGAAAAGTTTACCTTATTTCTGCACAGCAGTGGGCGGGATACTAACTTCACTTCTACTGCGTTCACCAGATCAAATTGGGACACATGATATTTTAAGTTATAAAGGTGTTTATGGAGATAAAAGGATAGCCTGTTACTAATAGAGCTACTTCAGCGAGTTTGGGAGACTATGATCACAGTAGCTCTAAGAGATTTTGATGTGATGCTAGTATCTCTGCTGAGCAGTGGTGGTGCCTGTATCCTTAGGACAGAATTCTAGTGCGGGTGAAGATGCCCAACTCCGTGCTAGTGGGAGCACTCTATGTCCTGTACGTACATGTATATACGCACGCATAGCTACGTACACCTTCTGTCTGGAGCATTCCCGAATTTAGGCCTGCTTTTTTGAAGTAATTACTATAAGTGTCCCCTTTCAAGGTACTTTTAAGAGTCCCTTGGCTCAGAAGTATCTTGGTTTAGCTGGTGAATTATGTGATCCCCTGTTTATACACACTTAGGGTATTGGAACATGTATCTCATGGCTCAACGTATCTCTGTTCACAGGTAAGGAATTCAGGCCTTCTTGGTTGAAAAGGCTTGACCAGGACACATCTATAAGCTATTATAAATTTCCCTCAACAAGAACTCTCCAGTTCAGTTCACTATGACTTAACAGATTCTAAGACCTCGTTATTTTCCTTACATGTAACATTTTATCTTAGATTCTTATGATTATAAATGCTAAGAGTGCATGGTCCCAGTTGCCTAAACTTAGTATCTGGTACTAGTTAGTGAAAGAATGAGTAAATAAGTGACTAAAGTAAAGCTTTTTTTTCCCAGGACGAATGACATTGTAACAGACAAAAAAACCCCAGATGATCCAATATGATTTTCTGAAATTGGTATAATATAGGCATGTTTCGTTTACTTGAATTGGATTTTTAAAATGACAACAGAGCTATATGTGCAGATTTATCCTGATGGCTTTTTAACTTCTGAATCTGAAGTAATTATCTAGATGTATAATTATCTAGATGTGAGTGTGGCATGCTCTTTATAAAGGGACTCTAATGAGAACATTGACATGGAAGATGTCAATTTATGTAGGAAATTATGTCAATTATGTGGAGCAGTGTGGGATAAACTTGGCAATTTTAAATGGTTAAAAGAGATATTCATTAAGAAACTTGGGGAAGGGATAGAGATACTGAAGGAAACCATTAGATTTTGTAAATGCAACAGATTTTGAAGCATGTTAAGAGACAACTCTGCTATCAGTGCTTTGGGAAAGCTAGGAGAAATAAAGGAACACAAGAGTAGCTTTCCAAGAGTCATTTTGGAATACCAACACACTGTTTTGGTGATGAGACCACCGTCAGGAAAATTCTGTTATCTGCATTTTACGTAAAAGTCGATATAACCACTGTGAAGAAGATATTGTGATGTCCTGAATATATAGATAACTGCAGTTGTCCATGGGAGTTTCAAAGCCAGAGTTTCATCAAGGACAAAGCAGATCTTTTGACTTAAGGGAAAGTAAATCTGCTTCTGAGATTGCTTGAAACTGAAGACCAGTGCATGGAGATATCATCTGCTGGAGTTTTAGTCCCTCTAGGAGAGCCGACTTCAGTTAAGAGGAGAGGTTTGGAGATGCAGTCAGCTGGTTTGTGTTCAGCTTTCATTCACAGGGAGATACTGCAGCAGGTTGAGGAATGGGGTGCATTCCAAATATTGATGAGGGGAGAGGACAATTTTCGGAGGGTAAGTCCCTCTTTTGAGGTAGTTTGGGTTTTATGCATGCTTTCTTTCCTCTTCCGAGATGGAATTCCAAATGACTTCTAAACGACCTGGGATTTTTGCTCTCTCCTTTCTCTTTCACTGAATGTTTAAATGAGGATACAGGAAAGTCAGCAGACTTTACGGTTCTGTACATGTATAGTGATTTTATTAGTGAAAAACAGTGGTCATAGCTATATTT